ATGTGAACGCTGCAAACTACGGTATGAATAGACCTCCGGCGTACAATCCATACTCCAACACCTACAATCCAGGCTGGAGAGATCATCGAATTTGCGTTATGGGAACGCACAGTAGGGTAATGCTCATCAACCATTCGGAGCTATGCAGCAGATGCAACAACCTCGTTTGTATGAGAAACAGCCGCCCCAAGCACCCACAAGCAACTCCAGTCCATCTTTGGAAGACTTGGTGAAGTCTATGGCTACCAGTACCCTGCAATTCCAACAATAGATGAGATCGACAATTGACAAATTACAAAGTCAGATCAATCAAGTGTCAGAGGAGGTGAAATAGCTACGTGAAAGAGGAAAATGGCATGCTCAGCCTGAGCCAAATCTAGCAAATCTCAGCACCATCACTATTTGCAGTGATACGATGATTGAATGTTCCTCCCGGCCTAATCCAAAGAATACGAGTGCTATAACCCTTCGTAGCGGAAAGGAATTGGAAGGTCCACCTCCTATCTCGAAGGGACAGAATGAAGATCAGATTGAGATGGAGATTGAAAAAGAGGCCGAACTTCACGAAAAGGTACCTTCTAACTCTGTTCCTCCTACTGAAGTTAAACCAGCTCCTTTTCCTGAGAGGTTGAAAAGACCACAAAAGGCGAACAAACGAAAAGAGATGATGAAAATCTTCAAGAAGATGGAACTTAATATCCCGCTCCTGGAGGCTATCAACAAAATCCCCAAGTACGCGAAGTTTTTGAAAGAACTGTGCACTAACAAAAGGAAATTGCGAGGGGACGAGCATATTATAGCGGGTGAGAATGTTTCTGTTGTTCTCAAAAGAAAGGTACCACCTAAAACAGGTGATCCAGGTATGTTTTCTATCTTTGTAAGATTCAAAAAACTGAGATAACTAAGGCTATGCTAGATCTAGGAGCTGCTATTAATGTCATGCCTCGATCAATATACGACTCTTTAAATCTAGGGCCTCTAAAAGAAACAGGAATTATTATTCAACTTTCTGATCGAACCAATGCTTATCCTGATGGTATGATAGAAGATGTACTAGTTCAAGTGAATGAATTGATTTTTCCTGTTGATTTTTATATTCTGGATATGCATGATGCGCACTGCTCTAATCTACCGCCTCTTTTGTTAGGAAGACCTTTTATGTGCACTGCAGGAGCGAAGATAAATGTTAAAAGGGGCACACTCAGCCTGGAGTTTGATGGAGAAGAATTTCATCTCAATATTTTTAATCCTGTCAAATGTCCTGTTGAATCTGAATCGTTATATGCAATTAATGTTATTAATTATGTGGTGCAGGAAACTTGTGAAGTTGGTAATGAGAATATACGAAGAACTGTGTTGACAAAACAGTTAGAGAAAAGACCAACTGAAGAGAGTAAGAAAAGAAAAAAGATTGTCGAAAAGTGGAGTAAGAAAAGACCAACTGAAGAGAGTAAGAAAAGAAAAACAGTTTGACTGCGCGACAGGTCAAAAGGACTTTTAAAAGTCTTGATTGAATGCCTCCGGATTTTAAAAGACTTATAAAAATCTGGATTGAATACACCCAAATTTTAAAGCGTATTCAATATAGATTTTATTGGATTTCATTGGAGTCTTAAAATCTGAGTGTATTCAATCTAGATTTTAAAAAATCTTTTAAAATTTGGGTGTATTCAATCCGACTTTTCAAATTCTTTTAAAATTTGGGTGTATTCAATTCAGATTTTAAAAAGTCTTTTAAAATTTTGGTGTATTCAACAATCCATAGACTTTAAAAATCTATGAATTTTGTTGGATTCTTAAATAAAATTGTTAACAAATTAAACTTTATAGAATCTTTTGTTATGAGGTTAGATTTTAATGGATTCTCAAAATTAGTAAAAAAGTACATATTATTTTATTTATAGCTTTAGTAACTATTTATTATTTTATATGTATTTATTATTTTATTATAATAATATCAATAAGATAAGAAAATTTAAATGTTTAATATAAAAATTACAAATATCTTAAAGTTTTATATATTTGAAAAAATATTAAAAAAATCACCGATTATATTTGAAACTGTTAATTTATATTTATTCCTTTTTAATTATTTTATTATAAAATTTAATTAATAAAAATTATAATTTTAATGTGATTTTATTTATAAATATATTTTTTTGTATAAAAATTTATATAAATAATAATAATAACTATTAAATAGATTGTTACAAAATAAAAATTTATTAAGTTGAATATATATAATATAATAAATCCGATCAAAATAATACTATAACAAAAAATATAAATTTACAAATATTATTATTATTAAAATAAAATAAAAATGAGAATAATAATAAATATATATTTTTTAGAACTAATGTACTTTTAATATTTTTATTAAATATTTCCTCCGTCCCAGAGGAAGATTGTCATTTACTTTTGGCACGTTATTTTTTGTATTTAGTATTATATTGGTTGATAGTACAAAATAATGAGAAAAGACATAAATGCTCTTAAGTCATTGATAAAATAATAAAAAAATAAACTAATATTAGTTAATACAAACAGTAATCTAATTTTAAAATATACATTACTTAATACATAATCAATTCAAAAAAAGCATAATGTTAAAATATATGGTTTTTTAATACATAATTAATATAAATAGACAATAATACACTTAAATGATGCAAATACACAATTTTTTCACAAACATACAGTGGCACGGACAGTGCAGTAAACAATTACATTCATCTCACAATTTTTCACTTGCAAAAGATAATATAAATAGTTTTCAATTTCCCTCGTATCGAAATATTAACATCCCTCCATTTAACAATTTCATTTCCCTCTCAAACTACATCTATAAATGCATCATTAATAGCAATAAATTTGAAGCTAGATAAAATATTCATTACCTCAAATGAAGAGAATGAAGAATCTAACGAGCGAGGAACTCAACAATATAGTGCAATTTTTGTTAGAAAACAGCAAGAATCGAAGGCCCGCACATGGAAAGATCAATGAAGCAGCAATCAAATTCGGCATTTCACGCAATGTAGTACGTAGAATATGGAAAAGAGCCATGCAACAGTAAGAATCAGGTATGCCAATCAATTTAAACAACCATAAAATAGGTAAAGGGCGTGAAAAGAAACACATTCTCGACAACATAGCCATGCAAAAAATTCCGTACAATAAGCGTGGCAGTTATCGTAGTGTGGCACATGAAATGTATGTTAGCAAGTCCACTGTCGGAAGGTGGACCAAAAATGGCCTGATCAGACACCACAGTAATGCCATAAAACCAGCATTGACAGCAACCAACAGAATCAGCAGACTGAGATTCAGTCTGAATCATATCAAAGTGGGCCAGGATATGAGTGTCATCAAGTTTAAGAGCATGTCTAATGTTGTACACATAGACGAAAAATAGTTTTATATTACTCGTAACACTAAAAAATATTATCTCACCCCTAACGAGTTTGATCCTTATAGGGTCTGCCAAAGCAAAAGGTTTATTACAAAGGTAATGTTCCTCTGTGCTGTGAGCAAACCCTTATATGGAAAAGAAGGGCAATGCATTTTTTATGGGAAAATAGGTATTTTTCCTTTCACAAGACAAGTTCCAGCCAGAAATAAATCAAAAACCGACCTGCTGGCACCTTGGAAACGAAGCCAATGGATTCAATCACAAAGGAAGTCACCAAGGCACTACTAATCAACAAGGTATTAACACTTTTATGAATATACATGAGTATGAGTTCCACATTAATGCATTTCCAAATATATGCAGTTACTTTCAATGATTAAAGCGAAATGGCCAGCAAAAGCAAGCAAAAGCATTTTAATACAACAAGACAATACCAAACCACACATTGATGACAGTGATCCGGACTTTAGGAATGCTGCAAGAAGCGATGGATTTGATATCCATCTTATTTTTCAACCATCAAATAGTCCCGACACAAATATAAATGATTTGGGGTGGTTTCGAGCACAACAACCACTACAAGTTTCAACCATAGCATCAAACGTGGATGAACTTTTACAGGCAGTGCATAGATCTTTTGACCAACTATCCGACACAACTTTAAACAATGTTTCCTAAGCTTGCAAGGTTGTCTTAAGGAAATAATGGCATGCAATGGGGGCAGCAACTACAAGATTCCTCATATTGGTAAATCTGCGATGATAAGAAACAATACACTTCCCACAAACCTAGAGATTGACCGGGAGTTCATCAAGGCATCCATTGATACATTAATAGAAGCAAATGAAGCAGAAGGTTTCGAAGAACTAATCACTGCCATCGAGGAACTGATTTGAAGGACAGATGTATTTCCTCATTTGTAAGTATTAATATCTTTTGTAATTAGTAGCCATAGGAAAGTTTTTGTAACTATTTTCCTTTTTGTATATGAGTTTAATTACAACTCACAAAATGCTATATTGAAACAACACTTTGTAGTTGTAATGTAATCTCTTTAAATTCAGTTACAGTTGTGTTATATTGTTATGTTTTGTACATAAACCTTTGACACTCTCAGATTATAAAATCATCACCGAGTGCATAGCAGTAAATTTTTTCAGGCCATTTTGTTTGAATTTTGGTCCTGATCAATGAGGTAATTTAGGGATACGGGACTTTCGCTCTCAGATTATAAAATCATCATCGAGTATAAGGGACAACGTTAAAGCATTCTCTCAATGTATAGATCATTGAATGCCTGAATTCAATACATTGTTAAGACATGTATTGAATCAAATAAGGGACCGTGCTCGCGTTGGACGAGCGAAGACTTTATACTAGGTATAAGTCTCCAAAAACTCGTTTTTATGCAACAATGAACCACCTACTGATTCAAATCACAAGTGGCTTAAAATTTTCATCATCTCAAGCTATTCATACCCAAAACCAACAATGACTTGCCACACAAATTTTCCACACACACATAATTAGGGACAATCAAGTAAGCCACAATTTTTCGCAACAAGTATATCGATTTTTACCTCACCTGTAGAGATCATACCATCCAACATGTAGGATAGCAAATAATTGACCAAATGATTTTCAATTTCGCCTACAAACAACAACAAACGAAGATTAATAAGTTTATTAACGAAAATTAACAAGCTTATTCATGGTACGTTAAACAAAATTTTTAGGGCAACATCTTCATAGTTTGAAAGAAAATGAAATCTACCAACCTCCAACACGGTACTCCAGTGGCTCGACGCCGAGAGGACAGTATATACGAAGCATATCGATGACAACTCCACGGGTAGAAGAGCAACTCAATGGAGCCGCTTCAATCCTACCCTGGGTCGACGAAGAAGGTATCTGAAACAGCGATCGCCTGGCTCGAACAAGGGCAACACTGGAATCAACCTCCGGCTCAGAATCAAGGGCGAATCCATGGAGCACCATGGGATTAGTGTTTGCGGTAGTAGATCCAGAGAAATCGGAAACGGAAAAGGCATCGGCGACGGCCGATTTGGAGGAATCGTACAACTCCGAAAACCCACCCACAGAGCGTAAAGGATCCCTCTCAAGGGGGGAACGACCCTCCGCCGCTGCAGGGGAGTGTGGGGCGAACGACATCACCGGAAAAATGAGTCGAAAAGAAAGGGGCGACAGCAATGGCGTAGAGGATGGCGAGGGTTACAAACCCTAATCGAGACAAAGGTGGGTGAGAGAGTGATGGTGGATGGATAGATTTATGATGGGTAGGTAGGAGTTAAATTAATGGGGTGAGTATTAAATGTGTTTTAATTTTGTTATTTGTGTAAAAATGTAGAACGACATTTCCGTAAAAAAATGTAAAGAGGAGGGTGTTTGTTATTTTAGATGTGTATAAAAGTTACTAAAATAGGAAACGGTAACATTGTAATGGGACAGATAAAAATAGAAAGTGGCAACCTTGCTGCGGAACGGAAGGAGTATTTGAAATTTTTTATATACTTACAAGTATATTGCATATATTTGAAATTATATAAATTAATAAAAAAATATTTAATTTATAAATTTATAAAATCTAATGAAGTTTAGTAAAATTAATAAATAATTCAATCAAATCTATCAAAATTCATATAAATCAATAAACAAAATCAATTAAACTCTGCATAAATTCTATAGTTTACCTTAGAAACCGTTTAAAATTTTAAACATTATATAAATATCTATTTATATTATATTAAATGTTTATTCTAATTTTTATTATTTGAAAATTTAGGCTAACTTTCAAATTTACAAGCAAATAAACAATAAAAGCTATAAATATTAATAATAAAATATAGTTAAACTTTTAATTTTAATCATTAGTTACGAATTATTGCTTATATTTGAAAAGTGAATTAATTTTGTGGAATAATTAAAAAAGAAAATATTACCAATTGGGTGAGAAAGAGATACTATAAATAAATTTAATTAACTTAATAACCTATAATAACTATTATACTATCATGTATAGGGATGTCAAATGGGGCGGGTTAGCCCCGGATCCGCCCCGAACCCGCTTTTAATGGGACGGGTTACGGGTTTTATTAAAAACTCGCTCCAATCTGGACTCGGACCCGGACCCGAATCCGGATATTTTTTAAAATTATTATAACTAATCTATATGTATATTTATATAATAAAAATATATTATTTATTTATTTAAATAATTTTAAACATAAAATTCAATTAGTCGTCTGTCCCAAGTAATTTTTTAAAATTATTATACCTAATATATGTATATTTATATAATAAAAATATATTATTTATATGTTTAAATAATTTTAAACATAAAACTCAATTACTTGTCTGTCCCAACCCTAAATTTCTAATTTCTTTTTCAGCTTTGCGACTGCTGCCGTCTTTCATCCTCGTCTACTTGTCTTCTGCCGACCACCACCGGCCGCTAATTAGGTACTAGTGGATCGATTGTTGGATCAAAAAATTGTCATCCTGCAATGCTAGATGAAGATGAAGACTTTGATGTTGAAAAATATTAGAATTGACTATTTGATGTTTTAATTCTTATATTTGTATTGTGTTTATGTACTTTTATCTTATTTTTATGGATCAATATTTGATTGTTTTTAGATTTTTTTATGCTTTTAATGCTATTTGTTTTAGTATTCGTTTGTTTAAAAAATATTTATTATTATATATTTTTAAAAAAAAAAAACGGGTTTCTCGGGTTGGATTCGGGGCGGGGCGGGGCGGGTCCTGGGACCGGGTGGAAGCGGGGTGGAGCGGGTCCCGGAGCCTACAGAATCCATCCCGAACCTGCCCAGTTGACATCCCTAATCATGTAAGATTACTAAAAAAAAATATTACTCATATTTAAAATTTTTTTATCATTTATAAAATTAATTTATGTTAATTTAAATAGATAAATAATATTTATTTATTTATTTATGTTATATAAAATTTTATATGTTATATAAAATTTCATTCTTTATAAAATAATATTTCTATTGTATATATTTTATTGAAATATATTATATATTTATTTTGTATTTTTAGATGTAAATATTTTTTTGTATTAGATATAAACAAAATTGTGCTTGTAATATAAAAAATAATAATTTATGTTTAATGAATTTTTAAAAATATATATTATTATATTTATTGTGTTAATGTGTGTATATTGTATTTTTTAATAATATTTGTGGAAAATTCTTCCATTTAAAAATACTAACTAAAAAAACTTATAGTTTTAAAAATGTTTGAATAAATATTAGAATTTTTTAATAATATATTTTAATTATTATTTTAAAACCAAAAAATACCTAAAATAATTTGTCCAAATCAAAAGATCATTTCTTCTTGATGAAGTATATTAGTATATTAAATGAATACATATGACTAAGCAAGAAAAAAGAAAGTATTTTTTATGATATTTATGGCAAAAGTATAGGATTTGTTTGTTTTGTATTTTGTTTTTAGAGGAAATAGTTTTTATATAAAATATTAAGCATTATGTAAATAATATAAAAGTAACAAGCATATAATATAATTGTTACGTACGAAATTTAGAATTAGGTTAAAAGCCCAAGGTAAAAAGAAGAATGGGCCTGGCAATAGAGTTGATTGAACTAGCTCAAGGAAAATAGGTTTATTTCTAAGGAAAGTCCTCAGGACGGAAGGACCTCAGGTCGGTAGGTCCTCAAGACGGAAAGACCTCAGGTCGGAAGGTCTTCAGGTCGGTAGGTCCTCAAGACGGAAAGACCTCAGGTCGGAAGGTCTTCAGGTCGGGAGGTCCTCAAGACGGAAAGTCATCAGGACGGAAGGACCTCAGGTCGGTAGGTCCTCAAGACGGAAAGACCTCAGGTCGGAAGGTCTTCAGGTCGGGAGGTCCTCAAGACGGAAAGTCATCAGGACGGAAGGACCTCAGGTCGGTAGGTCCTCAAGACGGAAAGACCTCAGGTCGGAAGGTCTTCAGGTCGGGAGGTCCTCAAGACGGAAAGTCATCAGGACGGAAGGACTTTAGGTCGGTAGGTCCTCAAGACGGAAAGACCTCAGGTCGGAAGGTCTTCAGGTCGGGAGGTCCTCAAGACGAAAAGTCATCAGGACGGGAAGTCCGCAGGTCGGGAGGCCCTCAGGACGGGAAATCCGTAGGTCGGGAGGCCTTCAGGACGGGAAGTTCTCAAGTCGGAACTCTGCGGCAGGACCAACAAATCGGATGGTTTGTTAGTCGGGATGTCTGTAGCTACTCCAAATAAGTCAGATGGTTTGCAAGTCGGGAGGATTGGCAGTCGGACCAATGCGGTTGTAGATTGGCAGTCGGGCCAAAAGGGCGGAAGGTCTATGGTCGGCTCAAAGAGTGGAATATAGGGATAATTTTGGTCTGCTGAGGATACGTGTCAGCAGGAGAAGGATTGGAAGACGGTTGGGAAGGAGACGTTGTAACCGTTCGGGCGACGGTTTTCAGTACAGTTCCCCAGAGAATATTTAAGGATTTGGATCATCATTTGACAAGGCATCTTCAATCAACTTCAACAAAGCAAAGTCAGATTTGGGGATCACCACTTTAAATTTCAGTCTTTTATTTTCCAGTTTATTTTCTGTACCATACAGTGTTTAGAGATTCCTAATCTCAGGCACTAATTAATCAAGTTTAAGGATATTTTCTATATCTTTGAACTTTACTTTATTTTTGTTGAAAAATTACATCAACAAATTGGCGACCACAGTGGGAGCAAGACAAAATTGCTCATTCCAATTCCGGCGATAATTTCATACGTCTAAGATCCGGCCGTATCATCGGAAGGGTCCATATGGCAGGTTCACAACCTCAATCATCTTCGGCACCGGTGGGAGAATCCGTTCCACCACCTATTGTGCCAAATGCCGGGGAAATCCCACAACCACCAACTGATTGGTGGTCTTATGTTCAACAAATGAACAACCAGCACACTTTGGTTATGCAGAATATGTTGCGTGAGCAACAAACGAACATGTTGCGTGAGCAACAGAGTCTGATGCAGAACATGATAGATCAAGCACTGTCAAGGGTTAGTCTTCAACCCACTCAAACTCCACCAGGAGTATCACCGTCCAGACCACAGGCAAATTTCGCAGGGCCATCATTCGTGGATAGTACATTCCCAAGTGCCACAAATCCCAACCGAATGGATAGGGGAAAATCTCCTCTGACTTTTCCCAACACTGTTCCACTGGGACCAAGGGTTACCAATCCGCAACCGAACAATACAAGGGAGGACAGGCCTGAAGGATATATACATGATCCTATTCATATTCCTGTGCAGGATCCGTTCCATGTTCCTGATCATCAACGCTTTCATGTAGATCCTGATGAGATTGCACATATATTAAGGGATCAGTATGGATTAACTCCTCAGATGGCTAACCGCCCTGCATATCAGAGACCTTTCCCAGAAAGGATCATTAATGAACACCCTCTCCCAAGGAATTATCGACCACCCGATTTTCATGCATTCTCAGGGGAGGACGGATCTTCCACCATAGAACATGTTGGTCGGTTCACAGCACAATTAGGAGAAGTTGGCAATAACCCTTTTTATAAGTTGCAGCTGTTTGGTTTATCTCTTACTAGAACAGCGTTTTCGTGGTTTGCAAGTCTGCCTCCTGGACAAATTCAGACGTGGGAAGGACTGGAGATGGCATTTCATGCCAGATTCTTCAATCCTTTACCAACTGTTTCTTTAACTGATTTACTTGAATTGAAACAGTATCCAGAAGAAACTGCTTCACAGTTTATAGAAAGGGTGCGATTGATGAAGGGACGATGTCCTACGGTAATCAGTGAGAAAGAGATGACCAATTTAGTGGTCCGGAATATGCATACTCGCTTAAGAAAGGCGCTCACTGCCCTGGATGTTGAGGATTTGGCAAGTCTTGCATCCAAGGCAGGACGTTTAGAGTCTTTGTTTAGAGAGGAAGATCAGCATAACAGGCGTAATAGAGGCCAACATATGGCGAGTATGGGAACAGAAACATGTGATTTTGATTTTAATCAGTCAGAAGAGATGGCAGCCAAGATCCTTTCTGGAAAACCTTATGTATGCCCTAAATTGAAGCCAGTACCAGGATTTGAAGGAAAGGAGCAACCGACGTTTGATAGTTCGAAAGCTGATGAAATCTTTGATATCCTACTGGCTGATGGGCAGATCCGTATTCCAAAG